GAGTAGGACACACGGGTCGAGCTGAGCATAGCATTTTATCCTCAGACGGACGGGCAGTCTGAGCGTACTATTCAGATTTTGGAGGATATGCTTTGAGCTTGTGTTATTGACTTTGGAGGATCTTGAGATCAATTCTTGCCTTTAGCGGAGTTTGCCTACAAAAAAAGCTACCAGTTGAGAATCCAGATAGCTCCCTATGAGGCTTTATATGGTAGGCGGTATCGGTCGTCGGTTGGGTGGTTTGAGCCAGAAAAGGCTCGGTTGTTGGGTACGGATCTAGTACAGGATGCCTTGGACAAGGTTAAGATCATTCAGGATAGGCTTCATACAGCTCAATCCAGGCAAAAAAGTTATGCCGAACGTAAGATTTGTGATGTGGCATTCATAGTCGGTGAGTGGGTGTTGCTTCGGGTGTCGCCTATGAAGGGCGTGATGAGATTGGGAAAGAAGGGCAAGCTAAGCCCTAGATTCATTGGTCCTTTTGAGATTCTTGATCGAGTGAGAGAGATGGCTTATAGACTTGCGTTGCCGCCGAGTTTATCAGTCGTCCATCCAGTGTTTCATGTGTCCATGCTTCAGAAGTATCACGGCGATCCATCTCACGTGTTAGACTTCATCACTGTCCAGTTGGACAAGGACTTGTCCTATGAGGAGGAGCTGGTGGCCATTTTGGACCGGCAGATTCGTCAGTTGAGATCGAAGAGTTTTCCTCCGTTTCGTGTTCAGTGGAGGGGTCAGCCTGTTGAGTCAGCGACCTGGGAGTTCGAATCCGATATGCGGAGCCCATATCCCCATCTTTACTCCGACTCAGGTACTTTTCTTATGTCCGTTCGAGGATGAATGGTTGTTTTAGAGGCGGAGAATGTGATGACCCAAAAGGTCATCGTTTTGAAAGTAAATTTTGTGTTTCAAGGCCTTAAAAACATCTTTTTGCTTTACCTCAATTTGCGTGCGCAGTCGGGGTGCATTTTCGGAAAGCTTTTATGTGAAGTCTAAGTGAAATAAGGAAATTGGCCTTTAAAATTGATTAAAGTTGACTTTGGTCAACGTTCTTGGTAAACGGACCCGGACTCGTGATCTGACAGTCTTGTAGGGTCCGTCGTAAAATTTGGGACTTGGACATATTCCCGGAATCGAATTCCGAGATCCCAAATTCAAGAAAAAAAATTTTGCAGAAAATTATTGCTGGAAAATATAAAGGTTTTTTGAAATGAAATGATGCTTGTTATTGATAGTATCAGGGTCATATCTTGGTTCCCGAGCCCGGTACAGATTTGAAATAATAATTTGGTTGAATTTGTGAAATTTGGTAAGAATCGGGAGTGGTTTGGTATAAAACGGACCTATAGTTGAGGGAAAATGGAAATTTCAATATTCTTGAGTAATTGTATGAATTTGAGGTTGAATTCGTAGTTGTTGATGTTATTTTGACGATTTCATCGCACGAGCAAGTCCGTATGATATTTTTAGACTTGCGTGCGTGATTAGTTTGGAGCCCCGAGGGCTCGGGTGAGTATTGGATAGGCCACGAAGTGAAATTAGACTTAAAAAATACTGTTGCGGGTTCAGAGAAAGTTGCAGGTCTCTGAACCAGGCTTCACGGTCCGCGGTGAATCTTCGTGATCGCGGTGGGGTCTTCGCGACCGTGGTGGGGTTTTCGTGATCAGCGGTGGGCAAGGCCATGTTTCGCGGCCGCGCTCGATATTTTGCGGTCCGCAGTGGAGCTCCACGGCCGCGGTCCTTTTTATGCGGTCAGTGATGAGGATCTGAGAGGGGTATATATAAATGAGACTTTTTAGCTATTTTTCATTTTTCAAAACCCTAAAACATAAGAGGCTATTTTTCAAGACAATCTTTCTCCCCAAAACACAAGTAAATGATTTTTAGCTCATTTCTTTTACTCTTTAACCTCTTTTTACAATTTCTCCTAGAATTTAGGGTTTTCATGATGGAATTGGGAATTTTGGGTAGAATTTAGGAATATCGAAATTTGGGGATTTAGACATCAAATTGAGGTCGGATTCCAAAACCAATTGTATATCCGTGCTCGGGGTGAATGGGTAATCGAGTTTTGGTCCGAATTTCAGGTTTGAACCAAGCAGGCTCGTGGTCGATTTTTTACTTTTTGGGAAAAACACTAGAAAATTTATTTTCATGCATTAGAATTGGTTTATTTAGCATTTATTAATATTATTAAGTAAATTGTGGCTAGATACAAGTGAATTGGAAGTGGAATCGATAGGTAAAGCGGTAGTTAAGGCTTGATTGTGTTCGTGACATTGAGGTAAGTGTTTGGTATAACCTTAGTTTGAGGGAATAGGAGTCTTGGTTTTATTTGCTATGCGTTAATTGTTGAGTACGACGTATAGGTGTAGTGACGAGTACCCATACGTTGGTGTCAAGTATGCCCGTAAGTCTTATATTATGATTGTTTGACTCCATTATGTATTGTTCATGTTTAATATGATAATTTCAAATGTTGAACAAGGCTTGTGGAAGTATTATTTGTAATTGAACACGGTAGAGCATTGGCTCAAGTTGAGAATTGAGTTGTGAAGAAATTGTGGAAAAGAGAAGAGGTTCATGATATTGTTTCCCTTGCCGGGATGTTAGTGCTTATGATATTGTTTTCCTTGCCGGGATATTATTGTTATACTATTGTTCCCTTGCGAGGATTCTATTGTGATTTTATTGATTCCCTTGCCGGAATTGCTTTGTGATTATTGCTTGGGTAAGGAAGAGCATAAAAGCACGAAGGGTGATGTCGTGCGTGATATTTGTGAGTGAGTGTTTATGCACAAAGGGTGATGTCGTGCCGATATTGTCAATGTAAAAGCACGAAGGGTGATGTCGTGCCATGATATGAGTGATATTGCACGAAGGATAATGTCGTGCCATGACTATGGGAGGTAAAAGCACGAAGGGTGATGTCGTGCCAAATATATTGATTCTTATGGTGAGAACGAGAGTAAAAGCACGAAGGGTGATGTCGTGCACTTGTTATTGTTCTCCTTATTTTTGCTTATAGTTGAATTTTGGTGTTCCGTATGCTTCTTTACTGAATTTCTGTTTGTACATGATATTTCCCCGAGCATGTTTCCCCTTCCCATCTTTAACTGCTAGTTTCTGTCGTTATTATTTGTTGTATATGATATAACTACACAAGTTTATTTGGTAGTATTGTCCTAGCCTCGTCACTACTTCGCCGAGGTTAGGCTCGACACTTACCAGCACATGGGGTCGGTTGTGCTGATATTACACTCTGCACTGTGTGCAGATCCCGGTGGTGGAGCATTTGGACCGTAGAGAGGTTGCTGCCTTCAGTCCATCAGGAGACCCGAGCTAGTCCTGCAGGCGTCCGCATGCCTTGGCGTCCCCTTCTATCTTTCCATTCTGTTTTTATGTACTTCAAAGACGACAGATTGTATTTATTTTTCCTTCAGACCACTGTTTGTAGTATTCGTAGATAGTCCTGACATTGTGACACTAATTCTGGGTGAAGTTGTACCTTGGATTTTTGTATTAGTATTTGGTTAAACTATTAGAATTTGTCTTCCGCATTTCTGTTGTTATGATTATTCCACTGTTGATCACATATAAATTCGTAAATGTTAAAAAGTTAAGAAAAAGGGTAATGAATCTGTTATACTCGGCTTGCCTAACTTTCATGAGTAGACGTCATCACGACTCCCAAAGGTGGAAAATCCGGGTCGTGACAATAGCCTTGCAAATTATTTTTCCATCCATCTATGATGTAAAAAAAAACAGTTTCACTACTTAGAGATAGAAAAAGAAGTAATATGCACCAAGGTAGAGAAATAAAATATCTCAATCCCAACAGAAGATTAAATTTTTATATTGCATATTAATCTTTTAAGAAAACAAACACACAGAAAAGGGCAATAGAGAAGGGAAATGGATAGCAACCGGAAACTATATCATAGAAGTACATCTCTCACAGGAATTCAATCAAACATATTGTGTGCCTACCCTAGATCCCCACATTTCAACTACAACTTTTATCAAAATATCCAGTATGTGCGAATTTGGTTCTACCCAATCCTAATTTTTTTTTATGTATAGAGAGCTTTACCTCCGTTGAATAGAATTAATAACATAATCTTTGTTTTTACAAGGTAAGAATTATTAGTAGCATACTCTTCTAGTATTTCAAAATATAACAAATAGTGAAAGTTGATTCAAAATGACAAATGTTTCCTTGAAGTTTCAACAACAGAATCATTATCTTTACACAATCAGTGTTAAGGGTTTGTTTTTTTGTTTTGAATTAGCAAGGGCACGGAAAAGAAAAACCTGGCTCCTTATCATTAGATTCTCCCAAAAATCATTAATTTCATTGTTAGTTATTGGAGCAATTGAAAGCACATAAGCAAAAGAGTAGGAGAGAAATGAAGGGACAATTTGCAGTCAGAAAAGAGAAGCTTACGGAGGTTGGATCCTGAAGTACAAAACAAATTAGGGCAACCAACACAAGTAAAATTCTACAAAGAAGTACATCGAATCCTACTCTGCTTAGTAGATTTTACAGAAAGAATAGAAGTGAAGCATATAGATAAAAGTTCTAGAGTCTCGGCTTGCGTGTGACACATCATAGTACACGTGTCCACTGTTAATGGTTCTTTGAAGTATTAACACTATTATATGTATACATTGTGTGTGACACATCATAGGAATAAATTTTGAAGTTACACTTCACATTGTTTTGTGTACAATTCTTCATAGCAGAGTTCGATCCTCCCTTATATAATATATATATACTAGTAGGGAGTTGCCCGTGCACCGCACGGGACCAACATGTAAAGAAAGCTTTGAAACGACAACATAATATTTTCCCTGTGATACTTAGGCTTAAAGATCTAATGCTATATGTTCACATGCAGAAAGTGATGTACCAATGACTTTAGTGGACTATAATCAATGAATTTAATAATTTTAATACTATATGTGCACAGCACAGGTCTTTTAGTTGATCTTAGTAATTGGAAAGAATGCAAAATTTCCTGGCAAAATAGAAAATGGAACAGTAATTCTTGGAATGGACAACAGCACAGATCTTAGATATTACTACTTCAGACGGCCTTAAAATATCATCTTCCAGCTAGCTTTCTTCATTATCAAAAGCTTCATTCATTTTCTACTCAAGCGAGGATGCCAAATCTCCAATCTCAAAAGCATGATATGTTGTAATAGCAGCTCTTCGGATTCCCTTGGCAATTCTCTTCTCAGACATCAATGCAAAATCCTTAGCCTCCATTGCGTTAGAAATGTATTTTCGTAAGTATCCACAGTTTTTGGTTGACAATTAGCAAATATATACTCCTGTAAGAGGCATTTAAAGTCGATAAAATAAAATTAACACGGCAGAGTTTAGCAGAATATGGTAAGCATTCATCATGAATAGGGAAACACCTACAACCAAACCAGGGAAAAAAGTAAGAAAAACCGTTGAACATCTGATGAGAAAATAAGACGGGCCAAAATGAGGAAGGTTGCTTCACCAAAAACAGCTCGAAGATCTTCTACACTCTTAGTTCAAATAACTTGCCTCTTTTGAGAATATATCTTATTCAACCTTACTGTAATCATCTGAACCCAAAATGGAGAGATTTGAAAGAAACCAAGTGAAAGCCACAAAGAGGAGCAAATAAAGAAGAGGATGCAGAACAAAATACACACAACTTGATGAATGCGAGAGCTTTTGTAGAAGACGTATTAGTATTTCTTTGTGGTTTTTTCTAAAGTTTAAAATCACCCAAGAACAAATTAACTAATATGACATTATACATTTGTATTTACTGGAAAATGCTACTTCTCAGTCTATTTCTAGATGAAAAAATTTCGGAGACTTGGATAGCAATATGGTTACTGCAAATACGAAATTAAATATCCTATGTCTTACCTTATCAGAGAAAAATCTAGGATACAACCATACCATAAAATTTTTGTAAAGATATGCTTATTGTAACTCCAACTCCAGGAACTATATATGGTAATATTGCATTTAACAGGTTAGTATCCTTGATATAAGATTAAAACTCCCTGCAAAGAGAACGTATAGCTTTCCAAGTTTAGGCTCTATTGGAAGCATTGTTAATTAATGTCATGTTAAAGAAAAACAATAAAGGAACCACAATCAGATGCAGATCCAGGATTTGAAGTTTATGGGTTCATACCGTAATTTCAAATTAATATGCAATACTAATTGGGTTCACAATTAGATATTTACGAATATTTAGTGAATTTCTTAATATTAATGCAGGGTGTATACAAAAGTTATTGGGTTTCCGGAAACTCATATTCAATGATCTAGGTCACACCATTGACCATAATAAAGGCAGAAAATAAATCATGAGAGCAGCACAATGGTTAAACTTGAATGTGAACATATAATCTAATAAAAACCAAATTTTTTGTACCCAGAACAGTCAGTTTTCGCTTCATCTAAAAGTTCACTTCATCTAAAAGCCACAACAATTTTCAGATACTCAATAGCCATTTTGGACCTATCAGCCAAACAAAAAAGGAAAATGTCATTGAAGGAGATTAATGAAGAATGAATTGTAGATCTGAAATTCTAGTACAAAGCAGTAAACTGTAATACCGTATTAAAAACGTACTAACATCCCTTACATTTGTGAATGCCTTTTAAAAGAACTCAAAAATGTTAAGACTTACACAGAGGTCCCATTTTTAACTATACCTCAAAAAGAAGGAAACCACAATATTCTATGATATCTTAATTTACATTTTCTTTTGGATGAAACTTATAATTTTATAATATCTTAATCACTTTGTTCTACCAGTAACTCTCCAATCACTCAATTTAAATTTAATTTGGAAAGCAAGAAAGAACACACGCAATTTAAATACATGCTTATAGTCGCAACATCATATCCAACTCACACTGTTAATCATCTACTCCATATAAACTTCACATGGAAACACCTAGATTGGCAACACTGAAAATCCATCAAACATATTACTTTGCAAGTACAAAAACCAAATCTAAAAGCTTTTCATTGGCGATACTGCTCAATTTTTTGTACATAATCTACAAAAATATTTCTGGAAAAAGGAAAGGGAAAAAAAGAGGATTGATCTGGAAAGAGAAAAAAAGATCTTGTTTTTTCAATGGAAGTTAAACTAATGGTACCTTTTCACTTGGTTTGCCATTCATGTCTCAATACATGCTGCTCTGATCTATTTCAGGATCACCTATATCAATCTACTACGGCCACGGATATTTATTTAAGACTTACACAGAGCAATAGCTAGTTTGACAAATCCAAAGAGGAATTTGAATCTTCATCCAAACTTATTCTAATAATTAATTGAATCAGATGACTGAACTCCATAATGACTCAGTTTGATAAGTTCTGACGCTTGAAATATACCTACTTGTAATATTTTTTATGCATAGCAAATAGTGAGATGTTGTTTCAGCCACTAGGATAGACATGCAACTACAATAACACACATATATTGTAGCCAATGCTGTTCAATAGAAATAAGTTATGCATCTTTGGATTGTTGAACGATAAAGTACTCCCTGCTACAGAAAATCTGGTGAAACTAAAAAAAGAAAAGCAACAAAAAGTAGTTCAATTGCTTCAGGCATACTATCAAACACCATAGGATGTCCAAGACTGCATTATTAAGGAAAAAGCGATTCTTAAGATTTCTCTGGTAGCTTTAAAAGCAGATTAGCATGCTTACATTGTTCATTAATTACAAAGGAAAAACAACTCTTAAAAACAGAAATACAACCAAAAATGCTTAACAATTACTTGAAGAATTCAATTACTGTGATTATCACAGAACTGGATCAGCTCCAGCTATCTGCTTAAAATTTCATGTGACATGACAAAAGTAAGACCAAATTGATACTTAATTTAAGCCAAAAGAAAATCAGAAGAAGCAGTTTTTGTAAGGTTACTATCCTGGAACATTACACTACTATAAAAATGTCACGACCCAAAAACCGGCCCGGTCGTGATGGCGCCTATCGTGAAACTAGGTCAGCCAACTTATTTCCAAATACTTCATATTTTATTTAAAAACTTAAGAAAAATAATATTTTAACAGAAATCCGATAAAAGGTAATAGTATAAAATCAAAACGAGTGGAAAGAAAGTACAAGCCCGACCTCGAGTGTCACTAAGTCATGAGCAAAATACTACAACTGTTCAAAATAAACAAAACTACATAGTCTGGGAATATCCAACAAAATTACTACAAGGAAGATAAGGAAGGAGAAGGCGGAACTGCGATCGCCAGGCAGCTACCTCGCACTCTCCACAGAAAGTCTCCAACTGGTATGATTAGCAACTGCTACCATGCCCCGAGATACCTGGATCTGCACACAGGGGTGCAGGGGGTAACGTGAGTACACCAACTCAGTAAGTAACAAGTCCAAACTATGGACTGACAGTAATGATGAACCAAACCTCAATAGGTATACAAATAAACTGTACGAAAAAAGTAGGCATGCTTGCAGTTCAAGTAAAAGCTCAGCAGTAAGTAAATACAACATGACCAGTACAGAGTATAAAGCTCTGGAAATCTCTAAGTACCAATGCACAAATAGCATGATCAATGTTCTGTATACCTCCACTCACAAGTGCTCAACCACTCGGTACTGTATATGGCCACCCGGCCCAGGGAAGATCCATCCCGGAATATATACACATCACTGATCGTAGTCATCCAGTACCGAGGAAGGCCATTCCAGCCTTATAGAGAAGATCCATCTTCAGGTATCAATACTTCGGACAAGATCTATGTCCAGGGAAGATCCATCCCTCAATATCATCAACTGCGCTCACTGGGGGTGTAAAGACTCCGGAGGGGCTTCTCTTAGCCCAAGCGCTATATCAAGCCAACGAAGGCTTGATCAAGATCTCGTTGCGGCGTGCAGCCCGATCCCATACTATCACTCAATATCAGGCTCTCGGCCTCACTCAGTCATTACTCTCCAGTCTCACACACACGGGCTCAAAGATTTCATGATACTAGCCCGAACAATGATATGATATGTCAAATAGCAATAATCGAGACTGAGGCATGATTGAATATGCATGAACAGGACTGAGTACAGAATATAAATGAAGCTAATGACATGACAACAAGAAACGACCTCTCGGGTCTCAACAGTGTTGGCGTGAAGCCTTAACATGATAATTAGCATGATTTACAGCTCATTAACTTAATCACATAGTTTCAACACAAATATCAACATGAAACTAAGCGGTGCCATAGAAATGACCCAGGCCGCGATTCTCACGGTGCACGCCCACACGCCCACACGCCCATCACTTGGCATTTGCGTCACCTCAATAGTAATCATAGAACACATAGTTCGGGGTTTCGAGCCCTCAAAACCAAGTTTGGAAGCGTTACTTATCTCAAGCCAAGCCAACCTCTAGCCCGTGACGCCCTTGCCTCTCGATTCGGCCTCCAAATGCCCCAAATCTAACCAAAATCAGTATATAACCATCAATATATGCTAAAGGAGTGAAACTCATATGAAAATTATCAGTTTAACTCAAAAATCCCAAAATTGGCCAAGCCTGACCCTCGAGCCCACGTCTCAAATTTCGATAAAATTTACAAAACTAGAATCCTTACACTCTCACTAGTTCATACATACCAAATACACCAAAATTCGACCACAAACGGCCCCTAAAATCCCTAAATCAAAGTCTCCAATTTCAAGCCCTAATCTCCCAACTTTCTTCCCTAATTTTCCACTAATACCATGATTAAATATACCTGAAGTCTCAAATAGGTGAGGATATCTACTCCGCAGCTCCCGCTCAGTCTCCCAGGTAGCCTCATCCACGGGCCGACCTCTCAACTGCACTTTCACTGAAGCTATATCCTTTGATCTCAACTTTCGAATCTGACGCTCCAAAATAGCTACTATCTCCACATCATAAGTCAAATCACTGTCCAACTGAACCGTGCTGAAATCCAAAACATGAGACGGATCGCCGATGTACTTCCAGAGTATAGAAACATGAAATATCGGATGCACACTCGACAAGCTGGGTGGCAAGGCAAGCTCATAAGCCACCTCCCCAATCCTCCAAAGCACCTCAAAAGGCCCAATGAATCGAGGACTCAATTTACCCTTCTTCCCAAATCTCATAACACCCTTCATGGGTGAAACCTTCAGTAGAACCTTCTCTCCAACCATGTAAGACACATCACGGACCTTCCTGTCAGCATAACTCTTTTGTCTGGACTGCGATGTACGAAACTATTCCTAAATCACCTTCACCTTGTCCAAATCATCCTGCACTAAGTCTGTACCCAAAAGCCTAGACTCACCCGGCTCAAACCAACCAACTGGAGATCTACACCGTCTCTCATATAAAGCCTCATATGGAGCCATTTGAATACTCGACTGATAACTGTTGTTATAAGCAAACTCTGCGAGCGGTAGAGACGGATCTCATGGCCCTCCAAAATCAATGACACAAGCGCGCAACATGCCCTCCAATATCAGAATAGTGCGCTCATATTGCCCGTCCGTCTAAGGGTGAAAAATTGTACTCAACTCAACCTGAGTACCCAACTCCCATTTCACGGCCCTCCAAAACTGCAAAGTAAACTGAGTACCTCTATCTGAAATGATGGAAATTGGGACACTGTGCAAGCAAAAAATCTCTCGGATATAGATCTCTACCAACCGCTCTAAAGAATAGGTAGTACATACTGGAGTGAAGTGCACGGACTTGGTCAGCCGATCCACAATCACCCAAATAGCATCGAACTTCTTCAAAGTCTGTGGGAGTCCAACTACAAAGTCCATGGTGATCCGCTCCCACTTCCACTCTGGAATATCCATCTACTGAAGCAGGTTACACGGTCTCTGATGCTCATATTTCACCTGCTGGCCATTGAGACACCGAGCTACAAATCCCACAATATCCTTCTTCATTCTCCTCCACTAGAAATGCTGTCTCAAATCCTGGTACATCTTTGCGGCACCTGGATGGATGGAATACTACGAGCTATGGGCCTCCTCTAGAATCAACTCCCGAAGCCCATCCATATTGAGCACACATATCTGGCCATGCATCCTCAAAACCCCATCATCACCAATAGTCACATCCCTGGCATCGTCGTGCTGAACTTTGTCCTTAAGGACAAGCAAATGAGGATCATCATGCGGGCGCTCTCTGATGTGATCAAATAAGGAAGACCGAGAAATCACACAAGCTAATACCCGACTAGGCTCCGAAATATCCAGCCTTACGAACCGATTGTCCAAGGCCTGAACATCAACTACAATAGGTCTCTCCCCAACAGAAATATACGCCAAACTCCCTATACTCACCGCCTTCATACTCAAGGCATCGTCCACCACATTGGCCTTTCCCGAATGGTACAAGATATTGACATCATAATCCTTTAGTAGCTCCAACCATCTCCGTTGCCTCAAATTGAGATCCTTCTGCTTGAACAAGTGTTGGAGGCTATAATGATCAGTAAACACCTCACAAGACATACCATGCAGATAATGTCTCCAAATCTTCAACGCATGAACAATGGCAGCCAACTCCAAATCATGAACGGGGTAGTTCTTCTCATGGGGCTTCAACTGACGGGAAGCATACGCGATCACCCTACCCTCCTACATCAAAACACACCCAATACCAACTCTCGAAGCATTATAATACAATGAATAAGAACCTGAAGCTGATGGCAACACTAATACTGGAGTTGTGGTCAAGGCAGTCTTGATCTTTTGAAAGCTCGCCTCACACTCATCCGACCACATGAATGGAGCACCCTTATGAGTCAATTTGGTCAAAAGTGATGCTATAGATGAAAATCCCTAAACGAACCGGCGGTAATAACCCGTCAAACCAAGAAAACTGCGAATCTCTGTGGCTAAGGATGATCTGGGCCAACTCCAAACCACCTCTATCTTCTTCAAATCAACCTAAATACCCTCACTGGACACCACGTGCTCCAAGAAAGCAACTGAACTGAGCCAAAACTCACACTTGGAGAACTTTGCATAAAGCTTCTCCTCCCTCAATCTCAGCAACACAACTCTCAAATGCTTCGCGTGCTCCTCCTGACTATGCGTGTACACCAGAATATCATCAATGAACACAATGACAAACGAGTCGAGATAAGGCCAAAACACGCTATTCATCAAATGCATGAACGATGTTGGGGCATTGGTCAGCCCAAAAGACATTACAAGGAACTCATAATGACCATATCGGGTCCTGAAAGCTGTCTTAAGAATGTCTGAGTCCCTGATCTTCAACTGGTGATACCCTGAATGGAGATCAATCTTGGAGAACACCCTCGCTCCCTGAAGCTGGTCAATAAATCATCAATACGAGGCAAAGGATAATTGTTCTTGATTGTAACCTTGTTCAACTGCCTGTAATCAATGCACATCCTCATAGTGCCACCCTTCTTCTTCACAAATAGAACAGGCGCACCCTACGGCGACACACTAGGCCGAATAAACCCCTTATCAAGGAGTTCTTGAAGCTGCTCCTTCAACTCCGCCGGTGCCATACGATACGGTGGAATGGAAATGGGCTGAGTGCCTAGCATCAAATCAATACCAAAATCAATATCCATGTCCGGTGGCATGCCCGACAGGTCTACAGGATACACATCCGGAAAGTCCCTCTCGATCGGAACTGAATCAATGGTAGGAGTCTTTGCACTAACATCCCTCACGAAGGCCAGATAAGAAAGAAAACCCTTCCCAACCATCCTTTGGGCCTTCAAAAATGAAATCACTCTACTAAGTACATAATCCATCGAACCTCGCCACTCAATCTGTGGCAACCTCGGCATAGCCAATGTCACTGTCTTAGCATGACAGTCCAAAATAGCATGACACGGAGATAACCAATCCATGTCTAGTATCACATCAAAGTCAACCATACTAAGCAACAAGAGATCCACTCGGGTATCCAAACCCCCAATAGTCACTACACATAACTGATATACACGGTCTACAACAATAGTAATACCCAACAAAGTAGATAAATGGATAGATAAAGCAAGAGACTTGGGGGACGTATCCAAATAATAGGCAAAATATGATGACATATATGAAAAAAGTGGAACTTGGATCAAATAATACAGAGGCATCTCTGTGGTAGACTGAGATAATACTTGTAATCACAGCATCTGAAGCAATAGCATCTAGTCTGGCTAGGAGGGCATAGAAACGGGCCTGACCACCACCTGATCGACCTCCCCCTTTAGGGCAACCCCTCGCTGATTGACCTCCACCCCGAGCTGGCTGAGCGAGTGGGGAAGTAACTAGTGCTGAAGCCGAAGGCTGACTCCTCTGCTGGGATGAACCTCCCATAAGACAGGGACAAAACCTCTTAATATGATCCAAATCTCCACACTCGAATAAACCTCTCCCGGCAAATGGCGGTGGGGACTAAAGGGAGCCCCACACACCGGGATACCCACTAGAAGAACCAGGCATAGATGAGCCCTGAACTGATGGTGCCTAAGTCGAACTCTGAGCTGGAAGGGCACTGAGAGACGAGTGACCCTGATGTGAACTGTAAGAACCATAGCCAGATGACCCACCACGGTGACCTGAACGGGCTGGCTGAGCATGTCTGAATGGACGGCCTCTGTCGTGCTGAGGCTGACCTCCCGAAGGAACACTACTAAAGCTACTATATCCTCAAAACCTCTTGGCCTCCCTCTCATCCCGCTCCTGGCGGTGAACTGACTCTATCTCTCTAGCAATGTCAACCACCTCCTCAAAAGGGGCGCTAAATACTCTCTCTGGTCAGACAAAATCCGTAGCTGATAGTTGAGGCCATTAACAAACCTCCTGATACTCTCCCTATCCGTGGGAACTAGCCATATAGCATGATGGGCCAACTCGGAGAATCGTATCTCATACTGCGACCAGTCATATCCCCTTGATGCAACTGCCCGAATTGCCTGCGCAGCTCCTCTCTACGGGAATGCAGTACATACTTCTCTAGGAATAGAATGGAGAACTGATGTCAGGCAAGGGGCGGTGCACCAACAGGCATACGCCTCTAATAAGCCTCCCACCAAGTGAAGGCAGCTCTAGAAAACTGAAAAGTAGTAAATGACACCCCACTAGTCTCCAGAATACCTATTGTACGTAACATTCTCTAACACTTATCCAAGAAACCCTGGGCATCCTCGCCCTCTACGCCACTGAAAGTCGGAGGCTAAAGTTTACTAAACCTCTCCAATTGTCGTTGCTCGTCATTAGGCATAACTGGAACCATAAAATCCTGAGCAGGTGCAACCGGCTGGGCTAGTGGTGCCTCTGGTGTCTGGAGTCCCTGAACAACCTGCTCGGGTGTACGGGTGGTGGGAGTCTGAGTGCCTTCCCCAGCCTGAGAAGTAGCTGTTGTAGTAGAAACTGCGACTGCCTGAGCAAGGCTGGTGCACACGGTCAGAATTTGATCCAAGGTCTCCTGAAGACCCGGAATAACAATAGGCACAGTCGGTGCCTAAGCTGGTGCTGCTGGAGCATCCCCCACTGGAGCCTGATCATGAACAGGGGAGGTGGGTGGATCTACAGGTGTTGCCCTAGCTGTTGTACGGGCTACACCCTTGCACTTACCACGGCATCGACCGCGTCCTCGGCCTCTAGTGGCCCCAACTAGTGGTACTAGTGATCGTCAGTCCTGACCGGTAGCCCGTGTCCTCACCATCTGTGAGAGAATAGAATAACAGAAGTCTAGTACCAAAATCAATAGATTCGCACGACAAGAATTCAAGAATATGAAGTTTTTCCTAAAGGTTTTGCAACCTCCCGAGGATAAGTACAGACCTCTCCGTACCAATCCACAAGACACTACTAAACCCGCTCATGACCCGTGAGACCTATGTAACCTGTTTCTAATACTAATATGTCACGACCCAAAAATCGGCCCGGTCGTGATTGCGCCTATCGTGAAACTAGGCTAGCCAACTTATTTCCAAATACTCCATATTTCATTTAAAAACATAAGAAAAATAATATTTTAATAGAAATCCGATAAAAGGTAATAGTATAAAATCAAAACAAGCGGAAAGAAAGTACAAGCCCGACCTCGGGTGTCACTAAGTCATGAGCAAATTACTACAACTGTTTGAGACAAACACGACTACATAGTCTGAGAATATCCAACAAAAGTACTATAAGGAAGATAAGGAAGGAGAAGGTAGAACTGCGATCGTCAGGCAGCTACCTCGCAATCTCCACGGAAAGTCTCCAACTGGTATGATCAGCAACCACTACTGTGCCCCGAGATACCTAGATCTACACACAGGGGTGCAGGGGGTAACGTGAGTACACCAACTCAGTAAGTAACAAGTCAAAACTATGGACTGATGGTAGTGACGAACCAAACCTCAATGGTATACAAATAAACTGTATAGAAAAAGTAGGCATGCTTGCAGTTCAAGTAAAAGCTCAGTAGTAAGTAAATATAACATGACCAGTACAGAGTATAAAGCTCCGAAAATCTCTAAGTACCAATGCACAAATAGCATGATCAATGTTCCGTGTACCTCCACTCATAATTGCTCAACCACTCGATACTGTATATGGCCACCCGGCCCAGGGAAGATCAATCCCGGAATATATACACATCATTGACCGTAGTCATCCAGTACCGAGGAAGGCCATTCCAACCGTATGGAGAAGATCCATCTCCAGGTATCAATGCTTCGGACAAGATCCATGTCCAGGGAAGATCCATCCCTCAATATCATCAACTGCACTCACTGGGGGTGTAAAGACTCCGGAGGGGCTTCTCTTAGCCCAAGAGTTATATCAAGTCAACGAAGGCATGATCAAAATCTCGCTACAGAGTGCAGCCCGATCCCATACTGTCACTCAATATCAGGCTCTCGGCCTCACTCAGTCACTACTCTCCAGTCTCACACACACGGGCTCAAAGATGTCATGATACTAGCCCGAACAATGATATGATATGTCAAATAGTAATAATCGAGACTAAGACATGATAGAATATGCATGTGTCACAACCCAAAAAAACCCGATTCGGTCGTGATGACGCTTATCGCGAAACTAGGCCAGCCGACACAATTCCCGAATCAACCATTATTCAATAAAAGTCATTTTTATACCATTTATTAATTAATAATCTCATGATGTAAGTCTAAATTAACAGTGCGGAATAAATACCCAAGCCTGACATCGGCGTGTCACTAGTCATGAGCATTTACTACAATTGTCTAACAACATCAAGGCCAATATGGCCGGGAAATCACAAGAATACATTAAGGAAGAATAAGGAGGGAGAAAAGCAGGGCTGCGATCGCCAGGCAGCTACCTTGCTAACTCCGATGAACCTGCCACCGAGCTCAGAAATACTTGAATCTGCACACAAGGTGCAGGGAGTAATGTGAGTACGCCAACTCAGTAAGTAATAAAAGTAAATAAAATCTGAGCATCAAGAAATCACGTAATCCACGTCATAGCACCACTGTGGGTACAGTAATTTTTCCAAAACAGTATACAGATCAAATCATCTCGTTAAACCCCAGTTTCAATAAAATCCTTTGAAAGATAACTTTCTAACAGTTTCAATAAAGGTTCAATGTAGTTTATAGTAAAAGTGATGACAAGTCGTAATCGGCCCCTCCGGCAAAATAATTCATAAACAGCCCTTCTAGCAACCTTTTCGATCATTCATATACATCACATAACATGAAAATCTCAATGGAAATAACAAAACCAAATCAGTAATTTAATTTCCAAACATCTCGTAAAACTTCCAGTTTTAATGAAAGTTGTTCAAAATATTTGTTTAACATTTTCGATAGAGGCTCAGTATAAAGATGAGTAAAAATAGTAATTTCATAAAACAGGCCCCTCAAGCAAAGCATCACTTGTATACAAGTATATATAGCCCCTCAGGCAAGCCTCTCATTCACTCATGACTCAACTCTTATCAATCAGCGCTCACACTCAGCACTCACGCTCAATAGGTACCATATAATAATCGATGTGGTGTGCATCCCGATCCATATATCGTTGCGACGTGCTGTCTGATCCATATATATAGTCGACTGCGCTCACTGGGGGTGTGCAAACTCCGGAGGGGCTCCTACAACCCAAGCTATATCGTTGCGGCGTGCAGCCCGATCCAACATATTGATAAGGCGTGCAGCCCGATCCAACAAACAACAACAACAACCCAGTATAATCACACTTATTAGGGTCTGGGAAGGGTAGTGTGTACGCAGACCTTACCTCTACCCTGGGGTAGAGAGGTTGTTTCCAAATAGACCCCCAGCATCCTTCCCTCCAAGAACTTCCCACCTTGCTCTTGGGGAGACTCGAACTCACCATATATATATTGTTGCGGCGTGCAGCCCGATCCAACAAACAACAACAACAACCCAGTATAATCACACTTATTAGGGTCTGGGAAGGGTAGTGTGTACGCAGACCTTACCTCTACCCTGGGGTAGAGAGGTTGTTTCCAAATAGACCCCCAGCATCCTTCCCTCCAAGAACTTCCCACCTTGCTCTTGGGGAGACTCGAACTCACCATATATATATTGTTGCGGCGTGCAGCCCGATCCATAAGTATATAATCCTCACAACCAGGCCCTCGGTCTCTCTCAGTCATTAACCTCACAATCAGACCCTTGGTTTATCTCAGTCATTAACCTCACAATCAGGCATTCAGCCTCTCTCAGCCATCAACCTCACAAGCCACTCGGACTATCAGTAAAATAGGGCGTTTAGCTCACAATATCATTTATAGTATCAGAATTGAGTAAATAAGGCTGAGTTAGGGAATCAGCAAAACACAGCATGACTGAGCACAATTATTAAATCAAAACAGTGAGAAATAGTAGTTAAAAAAAGCCCCATAAGGGTCCAAAATAGTTGGCACGAGGCCCAAATATGACATTTCACCCAAAACATAGCAATACATTTCCAAAACACAATAATATCAAATACGCGACCTAACAGTCGTACGGGACGAACCAAATCACAATTCCCAACGGTGCATGACCCCACGCTCGTCATCTAGCATGTGCGTCACCTCAAAGTAGCACAACGATGTAAAATTCGGGGTTTCATACCCTTAGGACAATATTTACAATCATTACTTACCTCAATCCGGTCCAAACTCTAGCCCGCGATGCCTTTGCCTCTCGACTCGGCCTCCGAATGCTCCAAATCTAACCAAAAATAGATTCATACCATCAAAATATACTAAGGGAACAAAGCCCACTCGAAAATAACCAATTTACACCAAGAATCCCGAAATTTGCCAAACTCGACCCCCAGGCCCACGTCTCGGAATCCGATAAAAATTACATCAATAGAATTCTTATCCTCCCACGAGTCCATACATACCAAAAACATCAAAATCGGACCTCAAATCCCCAATTTACACTCTCCAATTTCAAGCCCTAATTTCCCAATTTTAGGCTTTAAATCCCACTAATTTCATGTTTAAACAAGTAAGAATCAATATAGGATCGAGTATTGAGTTCAAAAATCTTACCTCCAAGTGTTTCCCTTCGATTTCCTCTTCAATCCTCCTCAAAAAGCTCCAAAATCGCTCAACAATGGAGGAAATAGACCAAAAGTCGTCAAAACCACTTTTAAAACATTCTGCCAGGGATTATTTTCCTTAATCGTGATCGCGGAAATATCCTCGCGATCGCAAAGAACAATTTTTGCTGCCTTAATATTTTACTCTATGCGACCGCGTTACCCCACACGCGAACGCGATGCAGTGGTTCCCCTAAGCTACGCGATCGCAATTGACCCCACGCGAACGCGAAGGGTAATACCAGATTCCTCTGCCGCCTTATTTCTTCTACGCGAACGCGGCCTGGCCCACGCGTTCGCGTTGCACAACTTGACTGACCTATGCGATCGCCCCCCTTTCTCTGAGAGCGCGAAGAGTTAACCCAGCTGGCCTCCCATTTGCCTTATGCGATCCTCCTCCCACGATCGCGATGAAGAATATACCAGTTGTAGAACACCAGCAACTTCTTAAGTCCAAAAAATGACTCGTTGAGCATCTGAAACTCACCCGAGGCCCTCGGGACGTCAACCAAACATGCCAACATATCCCATAACATCATTCAAACTTGTTCCAACTATCGTAACGCTCAGAACAACATCAAAACATCAAATCATCATCGGATTCAAGCCTAAGAATCCCAAAAATTTCCGAATTTCGAATTCGATCAAAAAGTCTATCAAACCTCGTCCGAATGACCTGAAATTTTGCACACACATCACAAATGATACAATGGACCTACTTCAACTTCCGAAATTCCATTCCAACCCCGATATCAAAATTTTCACTGTCGACCGGAAAATGCCAAATTTTCAAATTTTGCCAATTCAAGCCTAAATCTACCATGGACCTCCAAAATACATTCCAAACGTGCTCCCAGGTCCAAAATCACCTAATGAAACTAATCAAATCATAAAAATCCAAATCCGAGATCGAATACTAAAAAGTCAAAACTTGGTCAAACCTTTCAAATTTTAAGGTTCAAACTGAGAACTGTTCTTCCAAATTCATTCTGATTACCCTAAAAACCAAAACCGATGATTTACATAAGTCATAATACATCACACGGGGCTAGTCATGCCCGAGAACTGGCGAGCAAAGTGCAAAAGCTCAAAATGATGGGTCGGGTCATTACAGTATGAACAGGACTAAGTACATAATATAAATGAAGCTAATGACATGATAGCAAGAAATGACCTCTCGGGTCTCAACAGTGTTGGCGTGAAGCCTTAACATGATAATTAGCATGATTTGCAGCTCATTAACTTAATCACATAGTTTCAACATAGATATCAACATGAAAGAGTCACTAAGCGGTACCATGGAATGACCCAGGCCTCGATTCTCACGGTGCACGCCCACACGACTGTCACTTGGCATTTGCGTCACCTTAATAGTAATCATAGAACACATAGTTCGGGGTTTCGAACCCTCAGAACCAAGTTTGGAAGCGTTACTTACCTCAAGCCATGCCAAACTCTAGTCCGTGACGTCCTTGCCTCTCGATTTGGCTCCAAATACCCTGAATCTAACCAAAATTAGTATATAACCATCAATATACGCTAAAGGAGTGAAACCATATGAAAATTATCAATTTAACTCAAAAACCCCGAAATTGGCCAAACCCGACCCCCGGGCCCACGTCTCGAATTGCGATAAAATTCACAAAACTAGAATCCTTACACTCTCACGAGTTCATACATACTAAATACAACAAAATCTGACCACAAACGACCCCTCAAATCCCTAAATCAAAGTCTCCAATTTCTAGCTCTAATCTCGCAACTTGCTTCCCTAATTTTCCACTAATACCATGATTAAACAATGGAAAAATGGCCATAAACACAAGTAATAAAGCTTAAGAAGTTTACCCAACTGAAAACCTTCGATTCCCTTGAAAAATCATTTCCCTAGATCTCTTCCCGTCTTCAAAAATGGAGAAACTTAGCAAAAATTCGCGAAGACATCTATTTATATGTTCTACCTTGCGATACCGCACTTGCGGGACCGCTTCTACGCTCCATCTGTAACAACCCGGCCAGTCGTTTTAAGAATTAATGCCCCGTTTCCCTATTAACTGTATTCCCCGTGTTTGTTCTGCTATTTTGAATTGTCGGGATGCTTGGCTTTAAGTTTCAGAGAGTTTTGGGACACTTAGTCCCTAAATGAGAGTTTAAGTTTTGGAAATTTGACCGTAGTCAGAACAGTATGAAGACGGCCTCGTATTGGAATTCTGATGGTTCTGTTAGCTCTTTTGGGTGATTTCGGGTTTAGGAGCGTGTTCAAATTGTGTTTTGGAGGTCCATAACTAATTTAGGCTTGAAATGCCGAAAGTTGAGTTTTTGGAAGTTTCCGGTTCGATAGTGAGATTTTGATCCGAGGGTCGGAATGGAATTCCCGAAGTTGGAGTAGCTCCGTAGTGTTTAATGTGACGTGTGTGCAAAATTTTAGGTCATTCGAACGAGGTTTGATAGACTTTTTGATCGAAAGAGTAAATTGAGAGTTTTGGAGTTCTTAGGCATGAATCCGTGGTTGATTCGTTATTTTGATGTTGTTTTAGGTGTTTTAAGGATTGGTATTAGTTTGGACAGTGGTACTAGACTTGTTTGTGCTTTTGGTTGAGGTCCCGGGAGCCTCGGGATGGTTTCGGAAGGTTGTCGGAAGAATTGGGAGTTTGTTTGAGCAGCTTCAGCTGCTGATCTTATGTCATAATCGCACCTGCGGTTGGGTCCTGTAGGTGCATAGCCGCAGAAGTGGTGGTATCATCGCAGAAGCGAAAAGGGGAGAGCCAGCAGGAGCCGCAGAAGTAGGAGCTTCACCGCAGAAGCGATACCGCATCTGCATATGGGAAACCGCAGGTGCGGTAGCTGGACATCAGTGAATTGCCGCTGATGCGACTTTTTTTCCACAAAAGCCGGGACCGCAAGAGGATTAGCTGGGCAGAATATATAAATAGTTGCCTTCGTGAATTTGAGTTATTTTCACCTCTTTTCAAACGAGAATTCTGCCTTGGGGAGCATTTTCAAGGGAGATTTTCAGAGGAATTCATTGGGGTAAGGTCTTTGGTCCTTAAACTCGTTATTGAGGTTATTTTTATCATCGTAAGCATGAAAATTTAAGGAAAATCAGAGGTAAATTGGGGGTTAGGGCTTGATTAATTAGAGACTTTTGAGTGATGATTTGAGGGACCATTTGAGGTCCGATTTTGGTACTTTTGGTATGACTGAACTCGTGATAGTATGAGGATTCTGAAAAGATAAATGTTACCCTATTCCGAGACATGGGCCCGAGGGGCGTTTTGGTCATTTTACCTAATTTGCGTATTAGCTTAGAATTTCTTTGTAGAATCAGTTACTTGAAGTGTTATTTACATTATGCAACTGAATTGAATAGATTTGGGCCATTTGGAGTCGAGTACTCGTGGCAAGAATGTGGTTTCGGGTTGACTTTGAGCCTGTTCTAGGTAAGTGGCATGTCTAACCTTGTATGGGGGACCTTTCCCTTAGGATTTGGTATTATTGATAATTGAAATGCCTTGTACGTGAGGTGACAAGTGCGTACTTGTGCTAATTGTTGAAAATCCGATTTAAGCTTGTTGTTAGCTTAGGAAAGCATGTCTAATTGACTTAATTGCCTTACTTGCTCAAACTGCCTTATTTGGATTATGTGCAGCATGCTAGGTTAGAAATACCTGTTTTACCTTGGTATGGAACTTGAATTGAACTGTGTACTCTTTTTGTTGTTATTGTGTATTTACATTGGGACTACGTGATGGTATCCCGGGAGATCCCCCTCTATGTTTACTTTGGGACAACGGAATGGTATTCCGGGAGATCCCCCTGCACATTTACATTGGAACTACGGGACTGCACCTGGTAGATTCCCCCTGTACTGAGTATTTACATTTGGGACTACGGATTGGTGTTCCGGGAGATCCCCTCGCATTATGAGTTGGACTACGGGACGGTATCTTGGGAGATCCACTAGATATTTATATTGGGACTACAGAACGGTATCCTGGGAGATCCTCGGTTGTTATCTTTGTGCTGAGCTGTATTTCTTTCTGTGTTTACTTGGCCTCTGTGGTAGTTGTTGTTGTCCTTTATATCCTGTATTACTTTTACTGTTGTACTTATTTATATTGCTTTTGTTCTATACTGTTAAACCTTATATTTTATTTAACCTCAGTAGGGCCCGGACCTTCCTCGTCACTACCCGACCGAGGTTAGGCTTGGCACTTACTGAGTACCGATGTGGTGTACTCATGCCCTTTCTGCGCATGTTTTTCATGTGTAGATGCAAGTACTTTCACTCAGACTTATCATGCTTGAGACGAGGCGCTTGTAGAGACTTTAAGGTATATCTGCCGCATCCGCAGATCGAAGAGTCCCTTTCTACTCTCCCTTTTTGTATTAGCCCTTATGTACTTTCGTTTCATTGTTAGATATTCTGGAGTTAGATGTTTGTAGACATTCAAAGGCTTGTGGTCATGAGATTTCAGGTTTTGGGAAATGTTATTAGTCTCGAGAGTTGTTATTGTGTATGCTGAGCGGCACTTTAAACTCTATTTTATTTCACTATTTCGGTTTTTTAGTTATTTCTTCCGCAATTGTTGTTTATATTCTGCATTGTTAGGCTTACCTAATTGTAGAGACTAGTTGCAGTCACGATGGTTCACGGAGGGCGAACCAGGATCGTGACAAGTTGGTATCAAAGCTCTAGGTTCATAGGAGTCATGAATCACAAGACGGTTTATTAGAGTCTCGCCGATCAGTACGGAGACGTCAGTACTTATCTACGAGAGGCTATGTAACTGTTAGGAAAATTCCACTTCATTTGATTTCATTGTCAGTGGAGATTTTGATATCACAATTCTAACTTCTGTTTTCTATTCTCTCACAGATGGTAAGGACGCGTGCTACCCGAGAGGATCAGGCACCCGCGCCCCCTACTACAGTCGTCAGAGGCCGAGGACGCGCACGTGGTGCAGCCAGAGCACCCGCGCGAGCTACCACCGAGGTACCACCAGCAATTCTAGCTGGAGTCCAGGCACCTGATACGCCTACTACTACTGCTACTCCAGCTCTCCAGGAGACTCTTGCGTAGTTCATGAGCATGTACACCACTTTGGCTCAGGCAGGGTTGCTTCCCCTTGCTGCAGCCGCATCTCAGGTCTGGGGAGGAGCAAAGACTCCCGCCTCCCGCATTCTTGAGTAGCGAGTGCATGTTGATCAGGTCCTATAGATTATTCCTGTACAGCCTGTAGTCCCAGGTCAGCTCGAGGACAAGGCAGCAGCTTCCGAGGATGAGCATCGGAGGCTTGAGAGGTCCAAGAAGTATGATCCTCCTGTATTCATTAGGTTAGCCTCAGATGATGCCTTGAGATTTCTGGAGGAGTGTCACTGTATCCTCCGCACTATGGGTATATCAGGATCGAGTGGGGTTTCTTTCATTGCCTTCCAGCTTCGAGGAGCCGCCTATGAGTTGTAGCGTACCTATGAGTTAGACAGTCCGGATGAGGCAGCTTCACTGACTTGGACTCGGTTTCCAGATATGTTCCTGAAGGAGTTTGTTCCTCAGAGCCTCAGGGACTCATGGCGCGCAGAGTTTGAGCATTTGCGCCAGGGTACTATGATTGTCTCGAAGTATGCTATCTATTACACTAGCTTGGCTAGACATTCCCCAGCCTTGGTTTCTATTGTTCGTGAGATATTTCACCGGTTTATTGAGGGGCTTATTCCCAGCATCAGATCTAGCATAGCTCTTGAGTTTGAGATGGATATCTCTTATCAGCAGGTGGTGAGCATTGCTAGGAGGATTGAGGGTATGCATGCTAGGGAGAGAGAGGAGAGGGAGGCCAAGAGGTCTCGAGAGTCAGGCCATTAATCTAGTGCTCGTGCCCCAGCTGCAGGTCGTCATGGTAAGGGTTATATGAGTCACCCTGTTCATTCATCTCTTCCAGCAGCCAGTGGTATTCCAGCTCCTCCTAGGCGCAAGGAGCCTTATTATGCACCTCTAGTATCTAGTGCGCCTCCTGCGCGGGGTGCTTTCAGTGGTCAGTCCAGCATACCTGGCCAGAGCCAGTCACAGCCGCCACATCCTCCCAGAGCTTGTTTTGAGTGTGGTGATACATGCCATAAGGTGAGGGATTTCCCCAGACTTAGGAGGGGTGCACCTCCACAGAATTCTCAGCTACAACGTGCCCAGCAGAGTTCTCAGGCTATGGTTACCGCTCCAGTTGCTACCCCACCTGCTTAGCCAACTAGAGGTGGAGGTCGGGGAGGTAGAGGTTGCCCTAGAGGGGGAGGCCAGGTCAGATACTATGCCCTTCCTACCCGTACCGAGGTTGTTGCCTCTGATTCTATCATCACAAGTATTATACTGGTTTGTCACAGAGATGCATCAGTTCTATTCGATCCAGGCTCCACTTACTCTTACGTGTCTTCTTATTTTGCTTCGCATTTGGGTGTACCTTGGGATTCTTTGAGTTCCCTTATTTATGTTTCTACTCCTATGGGAGAT